TGACCTATTCAGATGCTTATGGGCTTCTTTCTCACGATCACACACATTGTTTAGGAAAATTGCAGAGTTTTGACGTTAACGTTCGAACACATCGGGACCGAAAGCCTAGCCTATCCATCGATCCTATGCCTCTGAAACTTCTTTCTCATGATCACATACATTGTTTTGGAAAATCGCACAGTTATGAAGTTAAAACGTTCGAACACATCGGGACCGAAAGCCTAGCCTATCTATCGATCCTACACCTCAGTCTCGTTGGTGCAAATACCAGCCGGCACCAACAAAAATGGGCTCGTGGGTCAAGCCGTACATCCAACACCTATTTTTCATACAAGGCTATCAACTTCATTTTGTTTAAAAACTTCGAGAGCTTAATGGAAATTTACAACAATAGGGGCAAATAACAAACATCAAATTCCATTAAAGGAACATCTAATTAGAATGAGCCTACCCCTTAATATACCGAGCCATTTCACACACAAATAACCATGGCCAAAAGGAAGTTTAAAAAACTCCAATTCCACACAATATCAAAAGATTTTATACTCGTGTAGGAGTATAATGTCCATGTACTCTCTTGGGTAAATCCAGTATAGGATTAATTTTAGAACCCAAAATTTTTGGGATGTAACATAGACTAACCTCAAAAAAAAAAGAAAAAATATACATATATATCTGAACAGAGCTCTCTATTTTTTAAAAAATACAATGTCCCAAGTTTAAACAAACACCGCCCAATTTTGAAGGCCAAGATCTAAGTGTTAAAAAGCTCAAAAAAAAAAAATTTCTTTGAAATAAAATTATCCAGTGGTTCTTATGTGCTTCCCAAAATTTCAGACTAAAAGATATTCCCAAGTAGGTATTTTCAGTGAGGGAGTAGACATAGAGTATAGTATACATGCTCAAAAGAGAGTATAGTTGTATCCTTGTTACTAGAGAAAGGATCCTTCATCAAGAATCCTTTCCCTCTCCCTCTCACACGCACATACATGTACACAAGCTCATACCATGAGTCAAGGTATATGACATAAAAAGAACGTAAGAGCCGATGATATTAACATGGGACCAGCTATTGAAGCAGTGAGGGGTCTGATTCAATCAAATCTAGTCAAACCACCAACCGAACTAATTGGATCAAATATAAATAAAAAATAGAAACAAAAATATAAAAATATGATATAAATATTTTAGAAAATTTCCAAACTTTATTTAACCACGAACTAATGAACCCAATCAATCCGACTGGTCAAAGCATATCAAACATTGATTTTGACCGGTTTTTAACTAAATCCAACTTCTACTTTTAGACTAGATCCACCAAGACAGGTTGGTGGTCTGACCGGTCGGATTGACATGCTGGGCCAATCTTAAACTCTTGATAACTATGGTAAGAACACAAGTGATTTTCATTAATCGGATAAAGAAAACATTTCTCCAGTATCCAGTAGGAAGGAAAATGACATCAACAATTTGTCAACTGAAATCTACATAGGAAAGGCAAGTATGAACAATGCATAATAACGAAATCATACTGTGAGAGATATCAAAATTATTCATATGAAACCAACTCTGGAGCACAATGAACTTCCAAGAAAAATCTCCGAGACCAAACTCCTCGAATATAATTTGGCTAGGAAAACAGTAGTGCCATCTCTTGTTGAACAAATTCTCAGTAAGCCTCCATCCCAGACTTGGCTCTGACTATTGCCAGGAGTATATCAGCTCGGGACACAAAATCCCCACCTGTGAAGTACCAAATATCTGTATCAGAGGCTATCTAAATCTATTTATCAATGAATTTCTGAATGGAAAAACAAAGAAACCGCACATTTGAGGGATCATTTGTTATAAATTGGTCATTGGAGAAGTTTTACAGAACAGCTGACAAAAGCGCACCGTTCGAATCATAAGAATGTATGTCATTTTTGGCAAGATCATATGAATGCATATAGACAAAATTGTTTCGAAGTGATACGTGATGGATGATTTCTAGTCATGCAATCCTCACGTGGCCCAAATGAGACAAACCCCATGCTACCATTGTCAAATGAGATTTCAACAGACATTGATGTGCCACAGATTTTTGTGTTATATGAACAAAGTGAGATCAAAATGGGCGTAAAAGACAAATCCATCGTCAGGATCAATAACGTGGGCATATGTATGAATAAGATGTCGATGTTCAAATCTAACTACATCAGCCTAATTGAATCAGAGTGAGCAATTCATCAATCCATTTTGTCTATTGAGTCAAAGCTGACACGAAAATGGTATTTCATCCTAATCAGCAAAGTGCAATTTTTAAAGGCCAAATTTGCCGTTTTGGTCAGTCTTAAATCCAGCACAGCCATGATTGACTCTACAATAAAAAAAGATTTATTTGCTTCATTTCTACCGACCAGCATAGTGGTAAATTTAAACCCCATACACAAAAATAGCAACCACAATCTAAATCAGTGTTACCTCCAAAAGTCTTCACTTTCTCACCAAAGACGAAAAGAAAGACCAATGTTGAAACAGAAAAAGAAATATAAGAAAAAAAACCTTAATTTTGTTAGAACATGAAAGAAGAAAAAAAAATCTTTCTCCAGAAAACGCAATTGGGCAAATTTTGCATAAAGTTCTATTTTTTTCTTGTTTGCTTACAATTTAGTCTTTTCAGTCTCTTTGTTATCAAATCTTTCAGATTTTTTCAATACAATTACAATTAATTTTCTGTTTTTCTGTTTTAAAAATCTGTGAAACTGAAAGATTTGGCTGATTTGCCATTCCAAACTGAGTTGACACCAGAAACTGACATTCCAATACCACTCATCTTATTTCGACAGCAAGCTATAAAGCTAAAATAACTAAAATCTCCTTGATATAAACATTAAAGCATGTACACATACACACCCCCAAAATCCAAATATATGAGTAGCATGTTGGACATTACATAAACAACAATATTCAGGTGATCTGCAATATGCTAGTTTCACTTTCATAACATGCCATTGTCCTGAGGCATGCAGAGGCATGTCCTCTTAGAGGTTAATTATTTAAACATAAATTCACTAACTGTATTAGACTGAAAAACTTTCCACATTTTACAAATTGGGTCTGCATTATTTTATGATATGCAGCAACAATTTCACATTTTTGGATTTAAGCTTTAACAATTTCATCAGAAATAGATGAATAATTGTCAAGATAAGGAACAAATTTTAAAGTTAAGTGAAGGACCTTAGATGTCAGAGAGATCCAAATTTTTCACTATCAGATGAAACCAAATGCAATCTAGATTACTTTGTCATTGTCAAACTGGCACAACATCCATATCATTAAAATTCAAGTTAAACCTCAGAGAGTACGTACACTCGAAAATAAGGTTTAACAATGGCCAAAAATGAGATAACCCAAATGACAATGCTGCAGATGCTAGGTTGAAATGAATTAGAATCTCAGAGAGAAGCTACTCAAGAGACATAAGTAAAGAATCATTGATCTGGATGGAAAGAGGAGTAATCTTTATTGCATCTCCCAATCAACTTCACAATCCATCAATCAACCAAAGAAAATTCAATGTAACTAAGAGACAAAAGAAACCATGTTTTCATAAGGGACAGCAAAAGGACTCCATAAAAACTGGCTGGAATATGATAGGGCAAAAAATATTTCCTATTATACGGCATGAGAATCCATTAGTCATTATGAGTGAGATGGGAAACACCATACATGGCACCAAATATCTTTAGGTTTCCAAATAAGATTGAGATCAAGAGACCCTATGGAACTTAGAGAAGCAACTTGAGAAATAGAACTGGTCATAGCTTTCTTGACAACCAAGATTGTAGACAGATAACTAGAGCCTCTTACATTATAATCGAAAGCAAAAACAAGATAAACAAAAGTTATGGAACAAGAAACTGTGAAAGCAAGGAAAAGCCAAGTACTTTTTTTTTTTCTGTTTAGAGACAGAATGTCAAGTGCAAATAACACGTCTCACACGAAATTTTCATATTCCAATGGCAGATAACTATGGACATGCTTGCCCATGAAATCAACACAGAGAAAACTCAAATTTGACAAGGTTCCTAAATTCTTAAAAGCCTCATACATCCATGACATCATGCTTAAGCAAAAAAACAGCTCTCAAATACCTTAAAAAGGGAGAACAATAATTTTTCAGTGTCATTTGAAATAAAGACAGGACATTAATGTAACTTATGTCTATTCTTCCCAAAATTTCAATCGTGTCCATATCATATTTAAGAAACACAAATGGGAAGATCGATAAATACACAATTGAATAGAGCTCGGCTTTACTCCTAGTAGAGCAAGAAACCATTTTTTGTGGGCAGAAGCTACTTAAGTCATTTGCATCATACCTGGAAAACTGAAATTTTCAACATAAAGAAAAGGTAAGGTCATCTTGTACACCACTCACCAAAAACTGATATGCCAACCTTGAAGCCGTTCCAACATACAGACCCTAATAACTCATAACTGTGACCGATAACCTCAAGCATCTAAAGGCATAGATCAAGGAATCACACCAGTAAACAGAAATCGAAGTGCTGGTTACTAAGCAGCACACCTAGTTATCCAAGCCACAGAAAAATCATCAAGCTAAGCCAATAGTCAACAATTGCAGTCGGTAACCAAAATAAACACAAAAAAAAACAGCATTTACAGAAACGTTTTTAGAAACTAAGTCATTGAAAGAAAATTAAAAGCTCATTACTACACCCTAAAATAGCAAGAAGAACATGTTTGATAAATTAAGAGCAAGGTTAGTCTTCGTGACTTACCTCTACAAGCAGCAAGCAAAGTAGCTTCAGAAATGATATTTGCTAGACCAGCTCCTACAAAAGTGGGGTGATAGAGGCAACCAGATCACGGATAACAACTAGGTCTTCCTCCAAAGGAACTCCTTGCAAATGAACAGCCAAAATCCTTTTCCTTCCTTCTTCATCTGGTTCCCTAACAAATATTTTCCTAGAAAAGTGGCCAGGCCTAAGAAGAGCTGGATCTAATGTGTCCAAACTATTAGTCGCTGCAATAACAACCACCGCCATATCCCTTTCCAACCCATCCATTTGAGCCATCAACTGCAAGAATAATTACCCGTCATTACTCATACTTTAGAAGAAGCATACCAAAAATGCAATAGAGATTGTTATTTGTTCCCATGTTTTTGCCAAGCACTCATAGGCATGGTGGAATGCTAACTGGCTCATGCTCTCAATATTCCTGCTAATGTTTGCGAGGGAATGGCAAAAAAATGGATGCAAATGGTAATATCCAAATGCAAGACGAAGAGTATGCATCTACATGCTGAGGTGCTACCTGCTTAGAGTTTGGTAACGTTCACAATCAGTCCATTCTTCCCTCTTCCCTCCAACTGCATCAAGCATGTCAATGAATATGATTGATGGTGCACACTTCCTTGCATCATTGAAGAGGCTTCTAATGCGAGAAGCTCCAGCTCCAACAAAACGCTCAACAAATTCACTGGCTGAAACAGAAATGAAGGGCAACCCTGCTTCTCCAACCACCGCACGAGCTAGTAAGGTCTTTCCTGTACCTGGCGGCCCAACCAAGAGCACACCTCTTGGTACCTTGGCTCCTACTCTAGCGTAGTTGACATCTCCATGAAATGATCTGAGTAAATAACAAAATGCATGTAGCATAAACAAAACATATTCATGGAACACTGATAATATAGCAAAGTGTCAAGCATATTTTACATGACTCATTTTGTCAAAACTGAAAGAGCAATCTAATATGCTCACTGATCTAAGTAAAGCATCAAACATATGTTGAATAACTCATTTTTGTCAAAAACAAGAACAAAAAGAAAATAGTCTTTTATTTATCAATGGACAATTCTATTTACTGTCTTGAATTCAATTTCCAAAGTTGAAAGATTGTCTATTTCCATGATACACCACATTTCTCTGCATTGATACTAGTTACCCACCATATCATTGATGTCAAACGAGATCAATTTGCCACAGATAATAAAGATGAATTTTATCATTATGAACAAGAACTCACTCCAAACTACATATTCAAAAGAATAAGAAAACCCACTACAAGACAATCAGCCGAATGCATGCAAATACCTTCTGACCACACCAGAAGAGAAAAAAGTGAATTCTTGAGAGAGAGAAATTGGAGCACTACAATGTCACAAATAGAGGATAAATTCACCTCCATAAGCTCGGTCTTAGCAGCATCAGCCCCCTCTACATTGTGGGAACGAGTGGTTTCACTGGCTCGCTTTCCTCTCCCCCCAGTTCGAACTTTGAGTTTACCAGGAATCCAAAAAACCAATATGTAAAAGAGTATAGTTAGACAGGTTCGAAATGCCCAATGATTAATGACAGGCTCAAAGTTCAAGGGCTGAACTAAACTGCATGCAACCCCTTTCTCTCTTATCAGAGACAACAGATAATCCACGTCGTGGGCCACTAAGCAGGTTGAATACTGCCACTTAGGCTTCTTCCGCACCTTACTCTCATCCAAATTCTCACTTTCACCATCACCCATGGTTGAATCGCCCTCTGCAAAATCTCCCCAAGAAAATGGAAGCAAAAACAGGATCACCCAAGTGCAATTCTAAATGAGTTTTTTTATTTTTGAGAATAACATAAACCATAAATTTTTCTTTTCTTTAGGAATCGTAAAATTAATCAACTGGGGGTTGAAAATGAGTTTTGTTACCTTTCAATTGAAATATCATTACTCAACTGTCACTCTGAATGAGAATATTGTACGATATTACTAAACAATATTTTTTGTTTTCCTTTAAGGAATCATATGTTCACTGACTGGCAAGCTAGATAATGAAAAAAAAGAAGAAGAAAAAAAGAAAAAAGAAATGCAGTACGTACTCAAAATTGAGACATTCTAGACCCACATAAACCATATTTTAAACAAACTCTAAGGGGCATATAATCACTGAAGTGAAAGCTAAATCATTAGTTTTCTTACCTTTGGACGGAGCAGTTTTTAACTCAGAGTCTCCATTGCTGGTCTCCAATTGAGCTTCTTTGACTGTATCATCCAAATGCGATTCACAACAAGGCTCACGCAAATTGTAAAGAATATATTGAGAACCTTCTCGAAAGAGGACCTCAGAGACTAATCCAGCCTGCAAATATCTGATCAAGTATGAGTAAAGAAGAATTTGAGGACCAGGTTGGAGAAATGGCTGCACCATATTGCTACATAGCGAGAGAAGAGTTGTAAACGAGAGAAGCCTGCATGAGGTTCTTGAGCAGAGCCCCTGCAAGCTCAGTGGAAAGAATGCGCATTCCGCTCTATGTTCTCAATTTCCCAATGGTGAAACATGGGGGTGGAGATAATAAAGGGAGCTGATTGGTTACACTGTGATCGAATTGGAACAACACCCCAATGGGAATTTTGGGCACAATAGTGTCTCAGTGAAGGTCTTTGAAATTCAGAGAGAAAGAGGAGGTTGATAAATTTAGAGAAAGAAAAGACTACTTACATTGAAACCTTCATGGCAATCAGGAACTTGGGTTCTACTGTCTCCTAATGGAGGTTTAAATGCATAAAGAAAAAGACAGAGGAGATCGAAGTTAGAGAGAGATACAAAGGCTTACACTGCAACAACCACGGAAAGAGCACCCATGGGGGATTTGGTCGGTGGGTTTTTCAATGGTGGTCAAAATATGGAGATAGAAACACAATGAATTCAAATTTTAGAGAGAGAGAGAGAATTCCTTGGTCTGGGAGATGAGTTGCTTGGCCTGTGAAATGGAACAGAGAGAGTTTCCATATTGTATAATAGGTTAGAGAGAGTAACAGATTCTTAAAATGGGGTCGAGAGAGTAACAGAATCTTGAAATCAGGTACAGCGAGTAACAGATTCTTGAAATGGGGAAAAGAAAGAGAGAGACTTGCAGAGACTTGAAATTAGGTTTCTAGAGAGAAGGTTTTGGCGCGGGAGAAAGTTTTCTGCCATTTGAAGGAAACATTTACGGTAAAGGTGTTTTCAAGAAGAGGGTGGTTTTCATATACCATACTCCTTCGGGATCATAATATACATTTACTCCCTCGGGCAAAACACCAACTCGAGATTTTATCAGATTTTTTGGGAAAAGTTCATATAGTGCCGAGGCTTTATGCATTTAAATTTGAGACTACCTCGAGAATTTCACTAAAAGAGGTTGTTTTGATGTCAAAATATCTTCAAATTAATCATCGTGACATCAAGATGCATGTATATAAGAGAAAAATAGATTTTTAAGTTTTAAAAATGGTGTATTATGTTAAGCATTCTATCAATTTTCAAAATTTTCAAGTTTTCATAGATCCATTGCTCTACACTATTTTACTATTTTTT